TCCTGTGGGCATAAATGCCTAGTCCTTTTGTATCTGCTTATTTTGAGAGCCCCTGACCCAGACGCTATCCTCCTGGGGTGCGCTGACACCCACTTAAGGCTCTCCTTTGGTTCCCGCAGAGCCTGGCCCCGTGGAGGATGTGCAGTGCCAGCCTGAGCCCACCCACCTAACTCTGAACTGGATAGTGCCCACCGGGGATGTGGGTACCTGTCTGGTGGTGGCAGAGCAGCTGGTAATGGGAAAGAATGCTCACCTCGTGTTCCAGGCCAACATTTCCAAGGACGCAGTCCTGCTGCCCAACCTGGTGCCTGCCACTTCCTACCGCCTCAGCCTCACCGTGCTGGGCAGGAATGGTCTGTGGAGCCAGACAGTCACCCTGGTGTGTGCCACGTCTGCTGAGGGTAGGTCACTCTCCACTGCACCTGGAGCCACTTCTGTTCCTTGTTTCTCCCCCTATCACTGCCCACCTGGAATTGTCTGCCTGGGGATTTCCCTGTTCCCCAAATCCCAGCCCTTTCCTCTGGCCCTGTTCTTGCTGGTTTGGTGCCATACTTTCGGCCTTATGTCTTGGCACTCTCATCCCGGCATCTTCCAAGTTCTTATGTAATTATATCTGTTAGCTATTTGTTGCTAGGCATTGTGGATAAGAAGCCATGGTCTCTGCCCTTGAAGCCTGATTGTCAGGCTTGTAGTCAGGATCTCTTCTCCTCTCCATGTCCAGCCTGGCATCCCCTAGAATTAGCCCCAGCCCCCCAGCTGGAGCTTGGGACAGAACTGGGAGTGATGATCACACCAGGCATGTTTGGCAAGGATGATGGGCAGATCCAGTGGTACGGCATCATTGCCACCACCAACATGTCACGTGAGTCTTGCACCCAAGAAGGGATGGGGAGACTCTGGCTATTGCTCGGCATGGAGTAGGCGATATGGGTCCAGAGATTGAGATTGGTAAGAAAAAGTATCGGAGGCTGGCATCAGCCTTAGAAAGGAGGCCCAGTATATTCTTAAGGAGGTGGCCGATGTTGAATCGTAAATGGGAGCATGCTAGAGAAATGGGGTAGCCCCCCTGTGGCAGGAAGAGAGGCCTCAGGCCCCCTGCTCATCTGCTCTGCCCCCTCCGCTTTCCTTTACCAGTGCCTTCGCCTTCCCAAAAAGTCATCAGCCACACGTGGTACGACCACTACTATAGGGGACATGACTCCTACCTGGCTATCCTGTTCCCCAACCCCTTCTACCCAGGACCCTGGGCTGTGCCGAGATCCTGGACAGTGCCTATGGGCATAGAAGACTGTGGCCAAGTCCAGGAGATATGCAATGGGCCACTCAAGTCAGGTTCTCCGTATAGGTGAGGGCTCCTAAGCCTGAACGGAGAGGGCAGGTGTTTTAAGTTTCATTTATGGGTTGCAAATAAACAAAAGCTTTGGACTGACTTACAGAGGGAATGCATGTGATGGAGCCAACAGAGTTATTTTGACTGGGCATCCTGGCAGACAAGATGTAAAAGGGAATACCCATTTGTTATATGGTTTTTTCAAAAAGGAGGGTGAGATGGATTCTCTCTCAGTTGGCCAGGGAAATTCTAAGGATATCCAGGCACCTATTTCTAGAGCTTCTTTTGGCTCTGAGAATAGGGCTGGGGGTGGTTTGTCCAGGGTGGAAGGTAGCACAATACATAACCTCTGAACAGTGAGGGAAGCTCTCACTGTCTCAGGGTCATTTCTTCTGATTCAGTTTCCTGGGGGTGGGTGGGAGGTGTTGCCTTATTTGTCTGCCCCCACCAACAGTAGGTCCTGTTTCTCTGCCCAGGTTCAGTGTTGTGGCCTTCACCAGGTACAGCCCTCCAGAGACCATTATTTCCTTCTCCGCCTTCTCAGGTAAGGCAGGCGGCAGGCTAGAGCTCCAGCTGGACCCTGGAGACAGGGAGGGCTGCTGAGCTCATCCCCAACCAGTAGCAAGAGGGACTGAGCTTAGACCCCTGGGAGAACATGTCCCACCTTGCAAGTGTTGGAAGGGCCAGTGACAAAGGTACTCTTGGCGCCAGACATGGCCTGGATGAACTGAGAGTGGGGGATGGATGAGGTGGAGGTACTGAAACGTCTCTCTGCTGCCCACGGTCACACTGCTGCCTGCTCTGCCCCTTTACACCCAGCTGCTCCTTGGCCATTGAGGTTCTAGAACAGCTCTGTCCAATAGAAACATGAGGCAAGCCACGAATGCAGGCCACATATGTCATTTAAAATTTCCTAGTGCTACGTTCAAAAGGTAAAAATAAATAAGCTAATCAATTTTAATAACATTTTGTTTTGGGTGGCGCCTGTGGCTCAAGGAGTAGGGCGCCGGCCCCATATGCCGGAGGTGGTGGGTTCAAACCCAGCCTCGGCCAAAAACCGCAAACAAACAAACAACATTTTGTTTAAATGAAGGTATCTAAAAGATCATCATTTCCACATGTGCCCATTAACATTCCTAATGAGCTATTTTACATTCTTTTCTTTCTTAATAAGTCTTTGAAATCTGGTGTGTATTTTACATTTGTAGCAAATCATAAGTTAGAATAGCCACATTTCAAATACGTAATAGCCCTATGTGGCTAATACCTACTGTATAGGACAGTGCAGTTCTAGAAGGCTCAGGAATCCAGACCTCTACTCTCTACTGTCTTTCTTCTCTTTGATGGTGTCAGGGAAGGTACTAGTAGGGTCTTTGGAGCATTCCCAGGAGCTGGAGGCCCGAAGGGCTTGCTGGGTGTTCCCAGTTTCCATCCAGATGTCCCCTTAGGCAGCCATCTCTGGCCTTCATTTGGTGTCTGGGACTTCTGAGGAGGAGAAGCGAGTTGTCACTGTGCCCTCCACCCAGAAAGTGCCAAGTCCAGGAGAGTTTAGCATGGCCCTGGAGGGTCAGTGGGGACAAGGCTGATATGTTCCTCTCCTCCCTTGCCTTCCACAGAGCCCCAGGCCAGCGTCTCCCCAGCAGCAATGCCCCTGTCTATCGTGGTGGGCATTGTGGTGGTCTGTGTCCTTATCACCTGTGCCATCCTGGGCCTGCTGTGTTGGAGGAGGGTGAAGGGACAGAGGTGAGTGAGAGGGGAGGCTGGGGACTGGGAAGAGCTTTCTGCCCTCGGGCTAGAAGCCTGTAACATGGCTCTCCACCCTTTGCAGGGCACAGAAGAATCAGTTTTCCCAAGAGCTGATGGCTTACAACCTGCGGTGAGTGCACCTCCGTGCTCCTCGTGATGGCGAAGAGGGCAACAGACCCCTGCCTTGCTCAGGCCATGGTGGCATTGCCAAGGCTCCCCTGGCAGCCTGCTCTTCTGTGGCTGTATTTGGTTAGGGGATGCAGGTCTCTGCCAGACCCCAGTTCTTCTTCCTCAGCCTCCGCTACACCCTCTCGAAGGTCTTTTCTTTTCTTT